CGTCCTAAAGCCATCAAAGCTGCAGCCGCCGACAACGACCAGAAATATAAGAGAGCATTAAGACTATAAAGACACCGTAAAAGCCGATCGCTGCGCATTATAATTATATTCATAATATTTTATTCATTTTTTTTTTCGAAGTACAGTGGAACCTCTTAATACCGGTCACTCTAGGCCGCTGACGTTTTGTCTGCTATTTACGGTTGAGGAGGAGGGGCTTTCGCTATACATAGGTTTCCGTTAGGAGAAGGTTTCATTGTATATATATTAGGTTCAGTGGTGTAGTTGTGGGAAGGGGTGGTGGGAACAGATCTCCCAGAACAAATTCAGAATTGCGCCACTGATGAGATTTAAGTTTTATTTAGTGACGACAATAAACATTTTTGTCCTTCAAAAAGCTGTACTCTTACGTTGTGAATAATCTTAAGTACCTTTATTATATCGTCGCCAAAAACGTCATCAATGTGAAACACTCGTTTCCGGTGCCACCACTGTACAGCAATAATATTTAATAATAATAATAATAATGATATTCATTTATACTTATTAGGTAAACTATTATATTTATACTGTATTGCAATATCATCATAATACTGCCTACCAGCAATATTGGTAGTAGGCAGTATTATTTTATTATATTTATTATACGGCTACGCTAGGTACTATATATACTACCATCTAAAATAGTTGCTACTATTTTACGCTGTACTATACTACAATAGTTATAGTTACTACCGATACAACCCACCTACTGAAAATAAAATGATCTTCAGATCTCATCTGCCTAATTATTATTCCTACTCAATTAAATTTAAAAAAAAAAAACTATACCTAGATAACTTACTAGATAGTTACTATATTTTTTAAGATTGCAACTAAAACATTTTAATGTATAAAAAAATGTATTTTATTTTCTCTTTTTTCCTAAATTATTTATTGTTTCATACTTTTAGTTGTACGAAATATAATATACATATATTGTAACACAATTAAATAAATTCATTTTTATATACCTACATAGTATATTGTTATTTATTAAAGGCGTATATATTAGGGTGGTCCTTATTTTTTTTTTTTTAATTTCGATCGGGCTACCTATGGAATTTGTTTAAAACCGCAAAAAAGTAAATTGTGTAAAGTTTCGTAGTAATTAACTAACTATATATACTCTGGTAAGCATATATTTTTGATGAACGATCATTTTGTAGTTTGTACTGTCCATTGTTTAATAATTAATATGCATAACTCAGATATTTTATACTATTATTGTATATTATATTTATAAATATAATATACATATAAATTACACATCTAAATTGACCTTATAACTCTGTTACATAAGTTTGGTGAGATTATTAAAATTAATTTTTCATTGCATTTTTTCATGCTATTCATACGCATACCCCTTGTAACGATTTACACACTACCTACTGATGCGTAATTTATGTCGTGCCCCGTGAATTTGCTTAGGTTAACAGAACACATGAATGTAAAGTACTACAGTATAAATTATTGGCATAGCCAACCAGTCGAGTTCGAATCGTAAAGTAGAGAAAACAGTCATCTCTACATTTTTAAGAATATATTATTAATTTGATTTACTATAGGTATAATACCTATAGATACCTACCTACCTTATAGATAAATCATAATAATTCAATTGATTCAACTCTTGCTACTCCTGTGATCTTCAATACACTATCCATAAGAACATTGTTACTCAGGTGAAAGGGTACTGTATAATAATATTACTATTTAACATTTAATAAACATTGTATACGTTATGTTCAATTGTGTTAGTCTATGAACGCAAATTTATCATTGGAAATATAAGATACATAATTAGCACAATAAATTTGCTATGCTCCTTTAAGCATACTTGAGATGGAGGTGAGAGTTCTTACGAGTACTAAAGTAATGTACATGTAACTTTTAAGCAAATTTAACTGATAAAGAATATAGAAAAGATATATAATAAACAATTACAAAATATCCCTAAACTAAATTGACTTGAGTAAGGCATTTTTTTAACAAAAAAATTTTTTGATATGAAATAAAATTAATATTCAAGACTTGATGATACTAGTTGCATTGGCAAAAAAAACTTCTACACTGTACCAGTAGTGTACGCACAATTTTAGTTCGGTTAGGGTTTTAACTGAGTAGGTAAATAATTTACATTATTTTTTGTTAAACAATTGGTTATAACTTATAAGTTATAACCAATTATAGTAGTATAATATAATAAGTCATAACTTATGACTAATAAATTATACTACCAAATTGTTAGGATAATATTGTTTATCAAATTATGCATGTATAAATTATGTATAGGTACTTAACTAAATATTTATTATTAGCATACTATGTAAATTATTTTTATAAAAACTATTATTTTAAATTCTAATAATTTAAAATCATGAAATTTAAGCAAAATACTAAAGAAATATTATAATACATAAAAGAAATCTGAGAACCGCGAACTGATGGTAGGTGATTTTTTCTGTAGTGAGTTTTCATTCCGAAGTAGGTTGGAATAATGGTATGTAATACATATGCAGTACCTATAATGCATGTATTAATGTATTATCTTATTGTGAGATTTACTTAAGATTCTGAGTGAAGTGTGCCTGTGTACACGATAAGTAGTCAAACTAATGTTACGATTTTTAACTTTAGTATCTTGTTCGATGGGAGACTGAAATTGGCTTGTGCATTTCTGAGATCAAAATTTAAAATTCCCATTTGTTTTCAAAAGAGTAAGGAAAATCAAAAAAAATAAATTAATAAAAAACTGGGAATTTTACTCAAAACTGATTTTTGATAGAATCGATTTTAGTTTTTGGTGTACCTCTAACACAAATTACCGTAGATATATTTTTTTAATTGTTGACATTTTGAAGTATATCTGAATACAATTTATTTTGTACACATGCTTTAGGCCTAATGATGTTATTATAGAACATGGGCCTTCAACAGGGGCGGAAGCAGGAAAAAATTTCGGGGGGGTTAAAAGAATAAGAATAATTACCATTATTTTAAAATAATTATTTATTATAAGATAAAATAACTATTACGTTTTAAATTAATCATCCATTCATTTCGGGGGGGGGGGGGCCGACCACTACTAGTTTTTTTTTTTTTTTTTAATGTAAACCCCCCCTGCGTACAACAAACAAAAATATATATTTTGAAAATAAATATAAAAATAAATAATTTAAGATTAAGACCCTAGTAATAATTATAATAATCTAACCGTTAAATGTACAGATAAATTCACTCTAATATTTGCACTTTGCAGAATGAAACAAATTGTTCGACGGGGACAACACATTATGTGGGTATGACGTCCTCTTGTTGTAAAAACTAGTTTAAATTTACCACCACCAAAAACCATCATCAAAGTTGAAGATTGAAGAACTTTTGCTGTTTCAAAAGTTGATGATAGATACAAATAAATAGCAACTAATACCTATAATTGAAAAACCAATCACTCAGCCCAAAATCTAAATTAAAACAATAAATACCGCTGTAAAACCAATAGGTACATCCATCGCTCGCCCATCCAAATCAAAAAAACTCTCCGATTTTACAGATACCTACCCAGGTCCGGACTGGGTCAAACATTTCCACCGGGAAAATAAAAATAATCTGCCCACTTATAAAAATACCTATAAAAACAACCAAAAAAAAAAAACAACAAATATTTTCGTATAAAATGATTGTTATTATTTTGAGAATTTGAACACTTAATATTATTATTAAAAATTAAAAAAAATAAAAATTAGTCAGTACAAAGACATTTTATCATTTTTATTTAAAATACAATATATGTTTAGACTCTATAATACACATTAATACATATTAAGTAATTTGTTGAGGTTTGAGCTTTTTTGCGGAATTGTGTCAATTATGATTTTGGCGGCACCGGATAAGGGGGAAGTTCGTGTAATGATAGTAAATTGTTGCACATCTTAGGCGGTGCCGACATGCGTTACGATTAGGTAGCGATTACTGTTTAACGAAGATAATAATAAGACACAAGCATCTATTTTTGACAATTTATACATTTTTTATGTCTATTTTAAGGAATTTACTTAATATTTTCAATTGTGTTGCACACCCATGTCCGTCAGTCATGAGCTGCCACGAGTGAACTGTTTTTTAATACGATTGCATTAGAAAATGCGTCTACGTCTGTCGACAGGATGAGCCTTAACCGATAAACCTGAAAAAAAAACATCCCTACGAATACAAGCGGCCCACCCGGTATCCCGCCTGCCCAGTCCGGACCTGGGAGGTAACTGTAAAATCGGAGTTTTTTTGATTCTGATGGGCGAGCTATGTACATACCTATTGGTTTTACAGTGGTATTTATTATTTTAATTTAGATTGTGGGTTGAGTGATTAGTTTTACAATAATAGGTATGAGTTGCTAGTAAATAACCTACCTAGGTATCCAATAATATAAATTATAATTTATAACTCTGATATTAGCTGTATGAGAAGTAAGAACTTCGTAAATCGTGATGAAGACCTATGACTGATATAGTTATTTATACTTGTGAGGTAGTTAATCAGACATATTAGGTACCTACATTATATAGGTAATATAGTTTAATATAGATGCCTACAAGTTACAACCTACCTACCTAGGTGGCTAGGTATTTATAGGTATTACGAATTATAATTATTTTGTTTTGTGGTATAAATTATTCTAGACGTCATGTATGTCTTGGGTAATACCATAGAATACGTCTATGTCCTCAATATGTCATCCATTCAAATATTCTATCAGTTTTTACTGGAGATTTTAATTTATAATAATAAAAAACCAACTTGTCTAAAATATAGGTGCTTAGTAAAACTACATCATTACTGTACGGAGCGCATTCTGGTGGATACGTTAAATTCAGACCAAATTATTATTTTCGAACCGACCGGCATCCTTCCTCGGATGTTCATACTGTTCATAGATTATGTTTATCAGAATGTGTCACGACGTGATAACTGATAAGTGCCAAATCTAGTATCTACGTGGGTGGAGCTGCTGCAACAACTTCATCTTCAAACTTCAAAGACGTAATAATAATCAATGATTCTGAGATTTTGAATCATTGAATGAAATCATATCAAAATGGAATCATACTATTTAGATATTCTTATGATAATTAATCTTATACTTCATTCAATAGTTTTGACGAATTGTTCTGTTGGGAACTTTGAAATCATAAAAGGGATCCCAATAGAAAGTAAGTTTTGCCAGTTTAGGCATTCTATACAATGTTGAATGTATCATAATTGGTACTTATTGGGCAAATAGTAAGATTATAAATTTATAATAAATTATACATTTTATAAATCAATTATTAAATTTATGAAATGTGACGCTATAATTTATGTGGTGCTTACAATATTTTCGACAGCTATTGTAAGTACCTTTGTCGTTATTTTCTAAGAACAAAAAGGTTCTTTTATTATTTACAGTGTCGACAAAAATGTAATGCCTACGCCCCCCTACACAGTTTTGGATAATGCATTGCATTCTTTATTTATTTGTATAATTAATTATGTCAACATATGTATTTATAGTTTTTATAATGGGGAAATAAAAATATAACAAATAATGTAAAATAAAGATAAATATGTTCTTTATTTGTTGTCTGGTTGGTGTTCAATGTCTTCTAGATAGTTTGTAGTTGGTATGGTTTTAATCTGGGTGTAGAGGTATTTAATGCCAAATTTCATTCAGTCAACTCTTTCTATCCACAGACGACTATATTTATATATATATATATATATATATATAAATTAAATTAAATATCAAATTAATTAATACATAACTATTAATGTATTTCATAGAAATTGTAATTGTCAAAGTTTATTGAGTATAATCCATAATAGATAAGTAATTAAAAAAATTAAAACAGTAAATATTAATTTATTCCGTTATCATAACAGAAATATGACCATGCTTATTCATCATTTTTTTCATGATCATATTGGTATTGTGTTGTAGGTGCCAAACTATATGCCCATGGCCAGGACTTCTCTTGTTTGGATGGCACTTTAACTATTCCTTATTCATATATTAATGATGATTATTGTGATTGTATTGATGCAAGTGATGAACCAGGTACCTCGGCATGTCCAAATGGCACATTTTACTGTACAAATAGAGGACATTTTCCTCTTGTTGTGCCGTCATCACGTGTGAATGATGGAATTTGTGGTACCTATAACACTTAAGTATAATATTATACTATATACATTATATGCAAAATATAATCTCTGACTTTAATTCTTCAAAATTGTATATTTAGGTACTTAATAAAAATATATAATATTTTTATAATAGTCAATAGGTATCTTTTAACTATATTATATGCAAGATAATAATTTTTTTCTTATAGTTAGAGTTGTGTTTATAGGTATATTAATATTTCATAAATTATAAATACCTAAAAAAATAAATAGCATTAGTTACCTTATTCACAGGAGTGTGCTTGGGGAGGGGGGGTTACCTGGTGTGTGGGCACCCTCCGACATTTTGGAATTGGCTCCCTAAAATGTAATTAGTCCCAGAGCGGGGGGAGGGCTGTATTTTAACTGATGTTACTTGAATAAAATGTATTTTTTTCTAAAGAAAAAGTAAAAAATAAATCATGTTTCGTGATAAAAAAATGAAACGTAAAGAATTTTTAATTTTGTGGAATAACTTGTTATGATTGTTACAGCTTTAGATGCCATTGACTACAAAAGTACAAATAATAAATGAGCATTGCAATTATCTTAGAAATAGATATTAAATCTAAGGGAATATAATATAACTTCATACATATTGTTGACATGTCTTGTTAAGAGAGGGCCTAAAAATATTGTAGTCATCCCCCAAAATTCAGGTCTGTGGCTCATGCTTGTGATCCTATTTCTAGTATTTTAAATTGAATTAAATAATAATTAAGTATTTATCTTAAAAAAATGTGGGTGGTAAAGGAATTTGGAATGCGAATTTCATTATATATTATACAAAATTAACTAATAGAAGCTTTTTAATCCAGAGACGTAATAATACTTAACACAATTGTAGGCAAAAGGCAACTACAATCTAAGTACAAGTATTCTTTTAATTTAAACAAGTTTAGTATATTATTTACTTTTTCAATTTTATTTATTGTAACATCTATCAAGAATCATTCAAAATTAGTTAATCATTATTATGAACATTACATTTTAAACAGATTGTTGTGATGGGTCTGATGAGTGGGCTAATAATGTCCAAAAACATGCTTGTCAAAACACATGTGAATATCTTAGCTATGAAGCTAGAAGTGAAGCAAATAGAAAAAATAGTTTATATGCTCTTGGATTTAAAATAAGAGCACAGCTTATTAATAAAGGCAAATATCTTTTATTACAGAAACAGGTAAGACAATTTGATGTATATTATATATACATTGGAACAAATATAATCTCATAGTCCTACCCATGCACATTTCAATAATAATAAAACAGTAAATATAAACTCGTATAATAGTCTGTTATAACTCATGTCACCAACCTATCAAAATATCAAACAACATTATTATTATAAATATCAAATTTATACCTATACAATTTGTTTTAATATTTACCTTGTTACATTTACTACTATTTGATTAGGTATTATATTCAACAAAAACTGGAATAAAGCTGAATAAATTACCAAAAACAGAACAAAATGAGTATTTTACTACTGAATTTATTTATTTAAGATAGGAATGAGCCAATCTCATTTAAAAGTGTAAAACATAATATATAGTCCCCTTGGCCCCTATTATCTAAACAAAAGAACCTTATAGATTATAAGTTACATGTTGGTATAGGTACCTACAAACTATAATTATTTAAATATACAAATTACTTAGCAACTGATTTTAATTTTTAATTTATCTGTATATGAACATTTTTTTTTTTTATACAACATGAACAAATGCGATTGTAAAAATCAAATTTGTATTCACCATAATGTTTATGTACAACCACCAAGAGGTAAATCATATGCAAAACATGGAACTTATATTCGTCCAGATATTCCTATGCAGTATAAAACTGAACAAAAATTATCTTATAAGAATTACCCCATTAATGAATTTATAAAGATAAATTCATCTTCAAAAAGTAACTGCGTAGAAGATAGTTTAAAGTTTGGTTTTCAATATCCATCAGAAACTATTCAACAATCCAGTTACAAAAAATGGAGGATTTCAGATGAGTTGGATATTAAAAAACCAAGAGACTGTTCTGATTTGATTGGACGTGGTGCTATAAACTTAAATACTACTAAACAATTTGATTTTCAAAGAAAAAACATTACTCCTCAAAGTAAAGAGTTCATAATATAGTTTAATATAATATTTATTTAGGTACAACAATAAACTAAAATATTAAAATTTAAATAAATAGGTAAACACTATGAAAAACCTTGCAGTGTTTTTAAGTCAAATATCCCAACTGATATTCAATCTACAGTTTATCAAACATCTTATAAGGATTCTAAAATGGAAAAAAGGAATATTGACATTTACAAACCTAAAAGTACTTACATTACCCCAACAAAAAAAATGGAAACAATGACAACAAATAATATAAATTATAAAAATTGGATCAGAAATTCAAATAATTCAAATATTAAGACTAATTACGATTGCCAAACAACAAAAAAACCAATAGATCATCAAACGACATACAATTATTACTACACTGAACCAGGAACATATACAAAAGAAGTTACATTTTCATCAAATGATGATTTATGTATTAAAGAGTGTTGTGATTAAAAATGGATTAATAAATATTCTACCACATTTAAGTTTAATT